GGTAGGCATAAAGAAGCTTAAGAAAATTTCTTATGCCAGTCTTTAATTTTGAGGTGCTGGAAGCTCTGAATTCCCAGCTTATATTGATTTATATTGTTAATTTTATAAAGAAACCCACTTTTCCTCGTAACCTCTTTCATAATAACAATCTCAGATTTGTTTGACCAGAATGATACATTATAAAACAAAAATACATCCATTTCCCTATATATTGCCAAATGTTGTTTTATAGCCTATAAATTTTGGAATTTAATCCAATGTCAGAGTATGTGTCTTTTTACTACTTGTTATCTGTGACATGTACTTTTTTTTTCATGTTGGTTGGTCAAGTTTTGAATCTTCTGTGCCATTGTAAATAAATAATTTATCCAACTGGGGTGGTATTTTCATATGATAAGAGTAAACAAGCCTAAACAAAAGTAGCATAGACAAGCCTAAATAAAAGTAGCATAATGACCTCATCTGTATAATTTATGTAATTCAGATCAAGTTTAGATTAGCTAAATCCAACATTCTTATTTAATGACAGCCAATTAGATGCTCAAGGTCCCTGTTGTTTTAAAACATCCTTATTTTCATCAATAACTTACTCTGGCCAACCTTCTCCTGTAGACACAGTGAAAAGGGTAAGCAGTGCCCATAGTACATTGTCATAATGGAAATCATATTTCCTCCACTCTCGTCTCTCAGCCTTCACTTCATTGTTCTTCTCGTAGACTAAATATTCTCCTCTAAGGAAGATCAACAAAAATGTTCAGAGACAAGTTTACACAATGGAGTTTAACAGTTTAATAGAATAGAATAGAATTCTTTATTGGCCAAGTGTGATTGGACACACAAGGAATTTGTCTTGGTGCATATGCTCTCAGTGTACATAAAAGAAAAGATACATTCGTCAAGAATAAGAATAAGTAATAAGAATCTTCTAAGATGTAAATGGTCTCTTTGACAGCATTAACATTCAAAGGAGATTGTGAAAAGAGGTGTTTATTATTTATTCAGATTTCAAAATTGACTGAAAGATTAATCAAGCAAACATCACTACTGTATAGCTACTAATCTGATGTTAGTCTCCCCAAACAAAAGGTAATTATGGGAAGATCAATTCATATACAGTTACTTTATTTAAAATTTGATACTATATTATTTAACTGGGGATGAAACTGAATAAATTTATTAGGATAATTTTCAATACAATAATTTTGCATTATTTTCAGTTGCTCCATATATTTTCCCCCAATAAAGTTGCCAAAGTTGCAAACCAATTCTTTAGCAATTTGAAGAATCTAAAGCTTCTGGTTTGAAAAGTTTTTACAGTGCTGAAAATGTAGACTGAATTGTTTTAAAATGTTTTTCTCATACAAAATTCTGAAAAAATAGCTAAACATATCTGCAATATCTTTGCCTAATTTAGATTTTTGAGTAGTAGTAGGTTTTCAGAACAGCAAAATAAATTGATTCCATCTCAGATAATTGTATGACTCCAGATTTTATGGTTGCCATGGCAACAGTAGGTTTGTTATCCCTCTATAAAGGTGATTGTGCAATTAAAATGACTAGCAGTGATGGATTCCTAGGGGATTTGGGCATGCCTTGTCTGTGGTCATAGTCAAAATGTTTTGAACAGCAAAGGGGTGATTTGTGCCCTTGCTTTAAAAACTCCCAAATGCTCTTCCCTAAACAGAGCTTATTTGGCTCCCTGATATACTCAGATTTTGAAAACAGAAACAGATGGAATGGCACCTTGAACACAAATGGGGAAAAAACTCAGGTCAAAATTAATCAACACAAGTGAGAATGCCTCAGATATTATTCTCTGGTAGCGATGATGACAAAGAAACAATCCCTATCTCAGTTATGTCTTTGAAGCTCTAGAATCTAGAGGAATGTTTCAACTTGCTTTGAGTTATTGTCTAATTACATAGATAAATTAAGGGATCCTTCTAGTCCATAGTTACCCTTTTCCTCAGATGTTTTAAGACAAATTGATTCAATTCAATAAATGAACCTATTGAGAACATCTTTATTGATAGTTTAGTAGCAAAGGTCCAGGAATATTGATTGGGCAACAAAGGAAACTAAACTATTTAAATTATAGTAAATGATTTAAATTCTGCATATCTGTAAATATCACACAGAGACTGAAGGAATGTCAAGGCAAATTATCCTTTGCATAACATAGCCACTAGAGAGATGTTAAATCTGAGAGTAAAATGAGTTGTGTACTCTGATTTAAAAATGAATATAGTTGTGCTGTTTTCCTTCCTTTTAAATACAGTTCATTACCCATTAATGAATCTATCACAGAATTAAGAAATTCTAGCATTTCATCTGTGCTTTCCATAGCCTCTCTTGTGGAGGGGACTGACACTTGGCCGCTTTTAAATACAGTCAGGTCCAGAAATATTGGGACATCGACACAATTCTAACATCTTTGGCTCTATACACCACCACAATGGAGTTGGAATGAAACAAACACAATGTGTGTTAACTGCAGACTGTCAGCTTTAATTTGAGGGTATGTACATCTAACTCAGGTGAACGGTGTAGGACTTACAGCAGTTTGCATATGTGCCTCCCACTTGTTAAGGGACCAAAAGTAATGGGACAATTGGCTTCTCAGCTGTTCCATGGCCAGGTGTGTGATATTCCCTCATTACCCCAATTACAATGTGCAGATAAAAGGCCCAGACTTCATTTCAAGTGCACTATTTGCATTTGGAATCTGTTGCTGTCATCTCTCAAGATGAGATCCAAAGAGCTGTCACTATCAGTGAAGCAAGCCATCATTAGGCTGAAGAACCAAAACAAACCCACCAGAGAGATAGCAAGAACATTAGGCGTGGCCAAAACAACTGTTTGAAACATTCTCAAAAAGAAGGAATGCACCGGTGAGCTCAGCAACACCAAAAGACCTGGGACACCACGGAAAACAAGTGTGGTGGATGACCGAAGAATTCTTTCCCTGGTGAAGAAAACACCCTTCACAACAGTTGGCCAGATCAAGAACACTCTCCAGGAGGTAGGTGTATGTGTGTTGAAGTCAACAATCAAGAGAAGACTTCACCAGAGTGAATACAGAGGGTTCACCACAAGATGTAAACCATTGGTGAGTCTCAAAAACAGGAAGGCCAGATTAGAGTTTGCCAAACAACATCTAACAAAGCCTTCACAGTTCTGGAACAAGATCCTATGGACAGATGAGACCAAGATTAACTTGTACCAGAGTGATGGGAAGAGAAGCGTATGGACAAGGAAAGGAACTGCTCATGATCCTAAGCATACCACCTCATCAGTGAAGCATGGTAGTGGTAGTGTCATGGCGTGGGCAAGTATGGCTGCCAATGGAACTGGTTCTCTTGTATTTATTGATGATATGACTGCTGACAAAAGCAGCAGGATGAATTCTGAAGTGTTTCAGGCAATATTATCTGCTCACATTCAGCCAAATGCTGCAGAACTCATTGGATGGCACTTCACAGTGCAGATGGACAATGACCCAAAGCATACTGCAAAAGCAACCAGAGTTTTTGAAGGGACAGAAGTGGAATGTTATGCAATGGCCAAGTCAATCACTTGACCTGAATCCCATTGAGCATGCATTTCACTTGCTGAAGACAAAACTGAAGGGAAAATGCCCCAAGAACAAGCAGGAACTGAAGACAGTTGCAGTAGAGGCCTGGCAGAGCATCACGAGGGATGAAACCCAGCGTCTGGTGATGTCTATGCATTCCAGACTTCAGGCTGTGATTGACTGCAAAGGATTTGCAACCAAGTATTAAGAAGGGAAAGTTTGATTTATGATTATTATTCTGTCCCATTACTTTTGGTCCCTTAACAAGTGGGAGGCACATATGCAAACTGCTGTAAGTCCTACACCGTTCACCTGAGTTGGATGTACATACCCTCAAATTAAAGCTGACAGTCTGCAGTTAACACACATTGTGTTTGTTTCATTCCAACTCCATTGTGGTAGTGTATAGAGCCAAAGATGTTAGAATTGTGTCGATGTCCCAATATTTCTGGACCTGACTGTATGTTCCATCTCCTTAATCATCTCCTTTTACTAGCATTTGCAGTTCTGTACAGAAATGAAATTTTATCTCTATACACTTGTAGTAAATCATCATGACTTCAAGAGAATAGATATTTATAAATTGCAAGTATTTCCTTTTATTCACTATTTCTTTATGGTTATGTACTTTTAACTACAAAAACATATCAATTTACAATATAGCTTACTGCTACCAAGTTCTTGTAGTAATGTTTTCCTGTGAACCTTTAAAACCATGAAAATCATACATTTAAAATGACACCACGATAACCACTAAATCACAAATAATCATTAAAGAAAAAAAGGCCAGAACACCAACTCCTCATATTGCCTTAACTTGTATCCAGCAACTTAAAATAAACAGCATAATAGAGATAAATGGAAGAATGGAAGACTTTTTAAAGTGTTTTGTACTTTACTGAATTAGATTATAACTTCAGGAAATTATTTGTTTTACAAATATTATTATTTGTTGATATAGAAAATTGATGCAATGTATTTTGATATAGGCAAGCTATAAAATCTATATTATTAATGTAGAAAAAAAATCTGAATCAGGACATCACTCAATAACTCAAGGTGATGGACATATCTAATACTTCTACTTCTTCCTACTTTCCCACAACAAACCTATTAGGTGAGCTGGGCTGAGAGACAGTGAGTGGCCCCAAGTTACCCCAAGTAACGGCAGGTTTTGATGCCTAAGACGGGACTGGAACTCACCATCTCTTGATTTCTAGCTGTTGTTCTTTATTTTGTTTTAATGAGTGGCTAGCAATCCAGAGACACATCTGCAAGTTGAGCAGCTATATAAATTAATTAAATAAATATCAGAAAATAATGCATTGGAAGCCAGTGGCTTGCCCTGAATGCAATGGCAATGTGACACAGGGAATTATACAGGTTATATAACTTTATGAATCACACAGCTTCTTATAAATTACAGGATTGGCCATATAGGAGAAAAGAATTGAATAAAAAAACTGAACGGGAGGAGGCTATGTACCTGCAGTCTTTTTCAAACTCCTTGGATTCATCAGTGCAGTAGAAGAATCTGCCTTTAAAGAGCTGGACAGCAACCACAGCGAAGATGAACATGAAGAGCATGTATACAATAAGAATATTGAGGACATTTTTGAGTGAATTCACCACACAGTCAAAGACAGCCTGTGGAAAACAGATACGCTGGTAAGATTTGACTAGGTTATGCTTATCTGTATTTTAATTTTCCATAAAACTGTCCCTCCTGCTTAAGAAATATATTTGTGTGTGAGAGAAATACCATTATAGAGACAATCAAATAAAACTAAGGCAACATGCAACCCTAAAATATCAGTACTGCAGGATTGCAGAATATATTGTGGAAATCAGTGGACATTTTCACTGTCTTAGTATGGCTTTTAAATACATTTTAAATCTTTAATAAGTTTGAAATTTCTATGTTAAGAAAATTTACTGTTTCCTATTTTTAAGACGTTTTCATTTAAACAGTAAATTTTCTTAACATAGAAATTTCAAATTTATTAAAGATTTAAAATGTATTTAAAAGCCATACTAAGACAGTGAAAATGTCCACTGATTTGCACAATATATTTTCCTCCTCGCTGTTCAGACACTCCTTAACATGGGTATAGCTCACTCCTATTTGCATGGCTGGGTGTCAATCAAACCCTATGGAGCTGGATACGCCCTGCTTCCTGCTCCTTCCCCAGTCTTTTCACTCAGCCATTTGCAAAGTGCATTAGGGTGTCTGTTCTCTCTTAGTAATTTCCTAAATTGTTATTTTATTTTGTTATTTTTCAATTTTTGGACATTCTCTGTTGTTTTTGAGGCTTGCGCCTTTCACAGCGTTCTAGCAGAGGCTAATTGGAGCGGAACGGCGGTTCGGGGCTCTGGCCGCCGTTCGCGGCTTGGCTTTGCTCAATTTAACATTTCCACGCCATTTTCTTGCTGCTAGAGCCGTCCTTTGCCTCTTTACTGTCTTCTGACCAGCGCAGCCTCGTTTTGGATATTGCGGCTTGAGTCCCTGCCGGCTGGCATACTCATTAGCCGAACGGAGGCTTCCTTGGGCAATATTTTTGGGCTCCAGCCGTAGGCACTTTGCTTCGCCTGGCTTGCGACGCCCCAGTGCTTCTCTCACAGACCGCCATCTTGTCTCTATCAGTAGTTTATCCAGCTTGTGTAGTGACCTGGGCTTTGGTTTCCAGGGTCACTAGCCCACCATTGTGCCTCTCCCACTTTGTGCAGCGACCTGGGCTTTGGTTCCCAGGGTCGTTTGCCTTCCTGCAGGTGTGGACGCGGTCCAGCAGTTACCTGCACGTGCATCTGCCTGACTCAGCGTGACTGCCATCATCAGGGAAGTAAACCCTTTTTTTATGTTGATTATTTAAAAAAAAAAAGGGGGGGAAATTTGTTATCTGTATATATTGTTGCTGGTGGTTGATAGTTGCTAAGTGATATCAGTGTATTTTTTGTGTAAATATTTAAAAAAAAATTTCAAAATTCAAAATTCAATTTTTTTTTCAAAATTTCAAAATTTTAAAAAAATATTCAAAAAAATTCAAAAAATTCAGAAAAATTGTATTTGTTTTTACAAACAATATGGAGGCTGTTGCTCTGTCTTCAGACCTTGACAGGAGCCCCTCTCCGTCTCCAGCTCCTTCTCCTAAGCACGCTAAGGGGAGGAAGACCAGGGGTGCCAAATCTGCCAAGTTGGGCAAGTCCTCTAAATCAGACAGGGATGCCCAACGCAGACACAATGCTCTGGAAAAACAGTTCTCAAAGGCACAACACCAGGCTCAGTTGCTTGATTGTCACGAACCGGTTGATGAGGATTTGGACCTCAATGCTGTTTGTGAACCGGGGGTGCTCCAGGATATTGCTGTCCAGGATGCTGAACCTTCTGCAGTCTGCCCTTCCACTTCTAGGAATTTTCCCTTGACATCTGTTAACCAGCCCTGTGTCAGAGCTAGATCAAGGTCCTCTAGCATGGCCAGTCACAATTCTCAGGCCTCTAGGCATGTTCCTGAGGCTACCTTCACACCCACTGCAGCAGGTCTCCGCCCTGAGACGGGGCCTACCCTTGGCCAACCTGTTGATTTCCAGTCGTTTACTCAGACTATGTCCCACATTTTTCAGGTTGGGTTGCAGCAGGCCTCTGGTATGTTACCCATTCCAGGTTGTGTACCTGCTCCCTCATGTCATATGCCGTCTGCCTTGGAGCAGCAACCTTCTACCTCCTATGTTCAGGTGCCTGAGCTTGTCAGGGAGGATGACTTTCTAGAAGACTTTGAGATGTCGGAGGATGAGGAGGCAGTCCAGGACAAGCCTGCCTTTCCGGGATTGTTCAAGCCCTCAATGTTTCGTTCCCTTTTACGCAAAGCGAAGGCTGCTACCAACATGGACACCAATTTAAATCAGGGTTCTGCTTCTGCTCCGCCTGACCCTAATAGTAACTTGTTTAATCTACCTCAACCTGATCACGACTATGTACCGTGTCCTGACCTTTTCTGTCAGGTCATTCAGAAACCATGGGACCACCCCGCTTCGCTTTCTGGCCCGAATTCCTTCGATTGAAAGCTATATGCCTCAGCTCCTGTGTTAGATGCTCTTCTGCAGTTACCTAAAATTGATGATCCCGTAGCTAGTCTGACATCTTCGTCGATTCTGGTAGGTGAAGCTGGTGATGGCCTCAAGTTTGAGGATAAGCGGGCGGAGATGTCATTCCGTAAGACACACCAGGCGGTAGCATGGGCCATCCGTGCTGCTACTTTTTCCTCTTTTTTCAACCGGGCGTCCCTGGTGTGGCTGCGTCAATTGAGGGACAGACTTCCTCCTGAAGACGCGCGGTTGCAGCAGGATCTGGCGAAGTTAATCGCTGCTGCTGAATATTCGGCCGATGCGTCCTTGAACGCAGCTAAATTTGCTTCACGAGCCTTGGCTTCGACAGTTTCTTCTAGATGACTTCTGTGGCTTCGTAATTGGAGAGCTGACGCAAAATCCAAGTGGCGTTTGACTGCTGCTCTGTACAAGGGTACGGCTTTGTTTGGGTCATCTTTGGACTCCATCTTGGTTGAAAACCGAGATAAAAAGAAGGTATTGCCCATGGCTTTCAGACGCCAGGATAGACGCTTCTTCCCCTATAGCCGGCAGCCCTTTCGTTACGACCAAGATGCTGGAAGCGCCTCTTATCAAAGATCTTCTCAATTCTCTTACCAACCAGCTTCAGACCAGACGTCCTTTCGTGGCCGTGGCCACCGCCAATCCACCTTCCGGCGTCCCTTCCGCTCTTCTACTTCCAGATACTCCAGACGTGGCAAGTGACTCACCGTCCCTGGCACCGATTGGAGGCAAACTCCAGGCCTTTTCCCACCAGTGGCCTCTTACCACCTCGGATGCCTGGATTGTCCAAACTGTCACCAACGGTCTACGTTTGGAATTCATTACCATGCCACAGGACTTTTATGTGCAATGCCCCTGGCCGCCTCAGATGGACAAGAAGTTTCTTCTGTCTCGCGAAATACAACATCTGCTGCAGATACAGGCAATAGAACGTGTTCCATCGACACAGCTCGGAACCGGCCTTTATTCAACGCTATTCCTGGTGCCGAAAAGCTCGGGCGATTGGAAGGGCATTCTGAATCTACGACGTCTCAACCAACACATCTTGTACTGTCGGTTCAAAATGCATTCGCTCAAATCATTGCTAGGCTGCATCCGACAGGGAGATCTAATGCAATCAGTGGATCTAAAGGAGGCGTACCTGCACGTTCCCATTCACCAATCGCACAGGAGGTACCTCAGGTTTGCGTTTGGAAACCACCACTTCCAGTATCGGGCTATGCCGTTCGGCCTCTCGTCTGCCCCGAGGACTTTTACAAAACTGTTGGCAGCGGTGGCGGCGTCGCTCAGAGAGGTACCTGTCCGTCTAGCATGCTACCTCGACGACATTTTGATTCTATCATCGTCAACCGAACTGGCAATTCGAGATCGGGAGTTGGTACTTCAAACTCTTCAGGACCACGGATTCACCTTGAATCTCACCAAAAGTCATCTGATCCCCACAAATCATATTCTGCACCTAGGAGCAACGATAGATTCGAGTCGGTGTGTCGTCCTTCTGTCTCCAGACAGACGTGTCAGCATCCAGCATCTTGTGTCTCAAATTCTACTGAACAGGACTGTTCCCTTACTGACACTTTCCCAGCTTCTGGGAAAACTAATATCCTGCATAGACATTGTCCCTTGGGCACGTTTCCATCTTCGTCGCCTTCAATGGTTCCTGCTTCCCTTCCAGAAGCAAGGTCGGGCGGAGTCCATCTTCAAAGTAACAGTTCCAGCTCCAGTTCGTCTCTCCCTGCGATGGTGGTTGTCTCCGGCTCTCAGCAGGGGCTCTCCCTTTCTGGAACCGAAACGGATGGTTTTAACCACAGATGCGAGTCTGCGGGGCTGGGGGGCCCATCTCAACTCCCAGTTAGCCCAGTGGGTCCGGTCATCGACGGAAAAACTGCACAATATAAATTGGCTGGAGCTCAGGGCGGTAAGGTTTGCTCTTTTTCACTTCAAACATCTTGTGTATCGCCAAGACCTTTTGATACTAACAGACAATGTGGCCACCAAGGCCCATATCAACAAGCAAGGGGGGACCCGCTCTTGGACTCTGATGCAGGAAGCGGAGAGGCTTCTGTCTTGGGCGGAGCTCCACCTCTTGTCGATAAGAGCCGAACACATTTCCGGGACTGTGAATCGGGAAGCAGATTGGCTCAGCAGAGACAAGTTAGATCACGCAGAATGGCAGTTGGATCCCGGCCTGTTCCAGGACCTGTCGAGGAGGTTCGGCCTACCAGTAGTGGACATGTTTGCGACAGCGCTCAACACTCAATTACCAAGATTCTATTCCCGTTACCCGTCACCAGCGGCGGAGGGTCTCGACGCTCTGCGGAGTCCTTGGCCTCGAGGACTCCTTTATGCATTTCCTCCCCTGCCCATCATACCCAAGGTGATTCAGAAGGTGATTCAAGAGCGGGCGAATCTACTACTGGTAGCGCCGTATTGGCCCCGTCGAGAGTGGTTCGCAGATCTCAAGAACCTGTCCGTCGAGCCACCGTGGAGGATTCCACCGGACAAGGTCGTTTTGACTCAAGGTGCGGTCCGCCATCCGGAGCCAGAATGGCTCCGATTAGCCGTGT